GTGTCAACTTTGACTTGTTATGACATCAGTACGCATGACAAACACGCTGATATTTAACATCAGAAAGCATCGTCCAAACAAATGTACCCGTTTGTCCAGTCCAGAGATCTCCCTATTCTCTGTTTGGTCCAGACACCAGTTTAGTGACACTAACTCCTTCTCTCCAGACTCCATGAAGAGGTGGTGGACTTCTACAACTTTATGTCGCCGCGGCCCGAGGAGGCAGCAATGAGACAGGAGGTGGTGACGCGAATAAAGAGGATAATTGAGGAGCTGTGGCCCAATGCTGAAGTAAGTCACTCTCACACACACACACACACACACACACACACACACACACACACACACACTAGGGCTGCTCGATTATGGCAAAAATAATAATCACGATTTTTGTGACTGAAATTGAGATCACGATTATTTAGGACGATTTTTCAATTTATGATGATTTTATTTGTTTTTATTCAGTCATAAAATTGCTCAGGGCACAATTAGGACAAAAATAAGAAACAAGATGATCACTAAAAGAACTCCTGATTCCCAGTATAAAAAGACCAATATACTTATAGCTCATAGTCTATGACCCAAGGGCTATAGACCTTGGTTTAACTCATTTAAGTCTAACCAGTACAGAACCAAATACCAATATCTTGCAAATACTGACAGCAAGAATTATACAGTGGCATTTATAACAAATAAATGCAAATAAATTGATGTTCACAAAATGTTGCATAGCATTTATTGAGTCGTGTCAAGGTGCTGTAGGAGCACCGTGTCCTCAGAGAGGTTAGTTATTAGTTATCAGCGTGAGGAACTTATTTCTACCTTATTTATAAACTATTTATTTACAAGTCCATCAGTTAATGTAATAATTGTCCCAACCACAGCTGCACCCCCCACCCCCCACCCCCCAACCCGGTCTCACAGCAATCGGGCAAGCTGCACGTGTGTTTAGCGCGCTGCACGCGCACATTTAGCTGTTTTTATCTGCTCAGGAGTCCGCAGGTACAGTGTGTGTCACTCACTCTGGTTAATCCAACAAGGAGCCAGCTCCGAGAGCTGTCTTTAGCGACCGACACATCACTACATCATTCCCTTTCCTAATGTTGTGAAGAACGGTCCGGAGCTCAGGCGGAGTGTTTAGCTAACCTGCAGGAAATGTCGACGACCGTTATCCAGAAAGTAGCTAAGGGTTACCAGAGATGTTTCTGAGATGTTCGCTAGGTACTTTTAGGATTAAAAAGTCAAGAAGGGGGTCTGAAAAGCTGCTAGAAATAGCGTCAAAGTCGCTAAGTTGGCAACACTGTGGAGGAGCGCTTCATTTGCAACTCAGGGCAGCGCAAGCGGGAGGAGCAAATAATCGGCTTGTTTTGTTTTTTATAATCGTTCAAAACTCAGATCGTAATCGTGATTAAAATTCGATTAATTGAGCAGCCCTAACACACACACACACACACACACACACACACACACACACACACACACACACACACTTTTGTGGTTTAAATCAACACCACTTCATGTTTCATTCATTTTCAGCAACTACCTGAATGCTGGGTGGAACCCAGCATTCCACCAGCTCCCCCCATCAGTGAGGAGGCCTCTCAGTGCTCCGAGTCTTTCACCTCCTTCTCCCCAATCACACTAAATGACTTAACCTCAATAATCAGTCAGATGAAGCTCTCATCATGCTCATCAGATGTGTTACCTCCCTCTGTTTTAGTCGGGTCCCTTGCCTCTATCAGTCCATCTCTGTTGACTATAATCAACAGCTCACTGAGCCAAGGCTGTGTTCCATCTTACTTTAAAAATGCAGTAGTGACTCCTCTCTTAAAGAAACCCAACCTTGACGCCAGCTCCGCCAGTAACTTTAGGCCCATTTCTAAGCTACCTTTCATCAGCAAAGTACTTGAGAAGGTTGTGGAAACCCAACTCAGATCCTGGTTTTCTAAGTCAAAGATCTCTGACCCCTTCCAATCTGGCTTTCTGAAGCAGCACTCAACTGAGACTGCTCTAGTAAGGGTGCATAATGACCTCCTGATGGCTGCTGATGCAGGGAAATGCTCTGTCATGGTCCTGCTAGACCTCAGTGCAGCTTTTGACACTGTAGACCACAACGTTCTACTAAACAGGTTAAAAGCTCTGGCTGGTATCTCAGGTTCTGCTCTAGACTGGCTCTCTTCCTATCTCACTAACAGAACATTCACAGTGAAGTCAGAAACCTTCTCCTCAGACACCGCCTCTCTAACATGCGGGGTCCCACAAGGTTCAGTTCTAGGGCCTCTACTATTCACGTTCTATATTCTTCCCCTAGCTGGCATCATTCAGTCTTTCCCAGACATCTCCTACCACATCTACGCTGATGATATTCAGCTCTATATGTCCTTCATGCCACACCAGTTGGACAGGCTGGCCACACTTGTACTCTGCCTGACCCAGATCAGTAACTGGCTGTCCAGCAACTTTCTTGTTCTCAACGCCAACAAGACAGAGACCCTGATCTCTGCACCCCCGAAACTTCAGCCAAAAATCGAGCAGGATATTGCCTCCTTTTGCCCATCAGCCAAGGCCAACATTAGAAACCTGGGAGTTATTTTTGATCCAGCATTAAGTTTAGACTCACACGTCAAAACCATCTCCCGGTCTTGTTTCTTTCAACTGAGAAACATTTCAAAAGTCCGTAAACTGGTTTCTACTGCAGATCTGGAAAGAATCATCCATGCCTTTGTGTCATCACGCTTAGACTACTGCAACGCTCTTTTTACTGGTCTCAGCAAAACCTCCCTCTCACGCCTTCAAGCCATCCAAAATGCAGCAGCCAGACTCCTAACCAAATCCAGCAGACGAGCTCACATCACTCCAGTTTTACAGTCCCTCCACTGGCTCCCGGTAGAATATAGAATACAGTTTAAAGTTTTAGTCCTGACCTATAGAGCTCTTAACAACCAGGCTCCAAGCTACCTATCTGAGCTTTTATCCCCACACACCACCTCACGGAACCTTAGATCCACATCTCAAAACCTCCTGGCGGTTCCTCGAACCAGACTAAAAACCAAAGGGGACAGGGCCTTTCAGACTAGTGCCCCCAGACTTTAGAACAGTCTGCCTTCAAAACTCCGTCTCTCCAAAACTGTAGAGGTCTTCAAAAAACATTTAAAAACTCACCTTTTCATCCAGGCGTTCCCCCGCTAAATATTCCGAAAGATGGCTTTGTCGTTGTTCATACCTCGACTTTGTTTTTACTCCTGATTTTGTTTACTATTTTGTCACTGCTATTGTTTTTTATGATCCGTTTTTATCGGTTTGAGGTATTTGCTCTGATTTTACTCATGTTGTACAGCGCTGTGTGATTCATATCTGCGAACGGCGCTTTATAAATAAACTTTTACTTACTTACTTGCTTACTTACTAACCCACCAGGTGCGCTGCATTATGGCAGCAGCTTGTCTTAGCAGCAAATAGGAGCTGTTGTAGTCTATTGCTTGGTTTTGTCTTTAAATATAAAACTACACATGACTATATTTGGAAATGAGGGTGGGGCTTAAGTAAAAAAAACTGAGTAGAGGGCTTTCTTTTGAAGTTTTCTATGAAATTCTACTGATATTGGCAAGACCACTGACCACATTGGGGTGATAAGTTGGTCAAAAACAGCAACGATGCTGCTTTAAAAATCGTGTTTTTGATTGAATCCCCATCACTTGTAAACAAGTGGAAATGTGAATTGTGTTGCGTGTACTTCCTGTGCACCTCTGCTGCTATTCCTGTAGTTGAATTACTGTGTCTGCAGGAACCGTTGTGCATTAAAATGAAATCAGGAACTTTGATTTGTTTGCACAATTCCTTTCTTATTTTTTTTACCAGTGTCTTAAGCTGCTTGGATTTGGTTTTAAAAGCCTGATAAAAGAAATAAAGTGTTTCTAGTAGGGGTAGACCGATTTATGGGTCGGCCGATATTACAGTTTTTATGCATCAGCCAATGTCTATCCTTCGTAAAGCCAGTTTAAAGTCAGACACATCCTCGGGCAGCCCGGTGCTGTTACACAATTCTATTTGAATGTATTTTTATGTTCACTAATAACATCTGCATGATAAATGTCCCGATACAACATTTTCACTTCCGATACGATACCGATATTGCAGCCTTCAGTATTGACCGATATCAACCTGATACGATATCAGCACATACTGTTGCCTGTTTTGTAGTGTGGATCGCATTAAAGGCTTGATCAAGTGATATTACTCAATCGGAGAACAAGAGCCAATAACAGTAAGTATTAAAAAAAAGGCAATTTTTTCTTAACCATTGGTCGTAAAAATGGGAACCTTAATGGACTGCTTGTATCGCAGATTTTTGATGCCGTCCAATATAATCCGATACACTGTTTTTGGGCCGATATCGAATTACTTCCGACATCGGAATGGGACATCCCTAATAAATACTCTAAATTAACTTTATTTAGGTTTCTGACTTTAACACTGTGTGATGCACAAAGTTAAGATTTAACTGTTGGATGAATTCAAAAACTGATTTAGCTTCAGACATTTTGAGCATCAATGGATGATACTGGTGGCATTTTAGCATGAAAATGAATTGCAAAATATCTGGACATCGGCCAAGGAAAATAAAAACTGGCAGTACAAATCGGCCATCGGCTGACCATGTCTCCTACGTATTGGTATCGATAATTTAAAAAAACCATTATCGGTCAACCTCTAGTTTCTAGTGACAGAATTGTCATAAATTAGGTCAGCCTAATGGATCGTGCTTTTATTACCCTGACAACCAACCGTACGGTGAGGGTGGTGGAATGGAACGTCAGTGTGTATTCAAAACTCATCATTCTCAATTTTAGCTCCATCCAACACAGTTTTGCTCTTAAACAAGTCATATCAAAGCTGTTGAGGATTGTCATTAAAATTGCCATCCATGAATTGTCATTTTTATAATTGTCGCTTCAAATCGTTCAGTTTAAAATTGTTAGTAAATAAATTTCTTCATTTTTAAACTTGCCTCACTATTGAAACGAAACACAGAAAAGGGTTGCATTTCCTGCTTGTCGAATGAAAAGAATCTTTCTGAGTCTTCTGTTTAATAAATAAACTTTGGTTATTAATTTAAGCATCTTAAATTAATATTCACACCATTACACTACACACCCTCAGATTACGTTTTATTCTGCTTCTCTCTGGATTAGAATTGTTTACATCTTTAATCGGAAAATGTAGGAGGCCTTAACGGCATAAAAACATGAACACCTAACCCTAACCCACATAAAGTGAAGACCTCTAGGGTTACACACTAACTTCATGACTGACGCTATACATTTTAGTGATCAAGGTGATTGCTAATCAGTTATTTCCTAAATTTGTCGTGATAAATATTTGGAAGTGGAAGAGTGGGAATCATCCAGCGATGCAGGGCCGATAGAATTCCCCGCTCATTACTTAATCACGTAAAGCACAAGCAGTGGGGATTTATTGGCTGCCAGCGTTTGCCACTTCCACTAAGAACCACATTGTCAGGTAAATGGATCAAGTCTCTCATCTGTTCCAGCCTCCTTTTCATTTCACTTTGTTATTCCTGGCTGGTCCTTGTCGTATTTAACTGGAGGAAAAGGAAAGCCTCTGCTTCCCTTTCACTCAGAGTCCCTGAAGCACAGCCCTTTTAAACCCTTTGTGTACTCGATCTGGCACTCGGCCTCTTACAGCGGAAACCCGGAATGCCTGGCTGATGATAGCTGGAGCACCGTGACGCTACATATGTCATTCTCACTACGAGGAGTATTTAGTTATTTACTTGATTAAGTTGCGCAAAAGAATGCTCCCAAACCTTTTAAGGTTGCAGTCAAACTCATGAGAAAGATACATATCAGATATGATGATCTTCAGTGAACAGTCTCTAATGTTGTTTTATTAGGTCCAGATATTTGGCAGCTTCAGCACAGGGCTGTACCTCCCAACGAGGTAAGACTTTTCTAATTAAGGAAACAAAGAAATCCTTCTCTTTAAAAGTTCTTGTTTAGCGTTAACTCTTTAATTGATTTATGTTTGCACACAGCGACATTGACCTGGTTGTGTTTGGGAAGTGGGATCGCCCCCCTCTGCAGGAGCTGGAGCAGGCTTTTCTTAAACACAACGTGGCCGAGCCGCTATCCATTAAAGTGTTGGACAAAGCTACGGTGAGTAGAATCTCTGCTTTTGTAGCTATGTGGGATGCTGCTCTTGTTTTCTATGGTCTGGTCTTGAAACCAAACCAGTTTTCAAAAATAGCTCTCGCTCACGTGAAATGAAAAACAATCTGTCTTCTTTTTATTCTACTTTCTTGTCTAGAAAGTGATGTGATTTCTTAGAGGTAAGAAAATGTTCTTTAAAGAAAACAATTGGAAAGTAAGAGTAACTAAGTACAGCTTCCCTTCATTGTGTTGAAGTCCAACTATCATTCCTCGGAGGAATTTGAGCAGCCGCTCTGGTGGAAGTATTCATAGTGACAATCCTCTAGTGGAAAGTAATGGAAATGGTCACTCGGTTGCATCCTGTGGGGTGTGCACACAGTCAGGCAAACCACCAGGAGCTTCAGCAATCTTCCTGACGGACACATTAAAGGTCAACTTAGCTGAAAACACATTTTTTAATTATAATTTTCTGATTATAGTCACTTTGAGTTTGTCATCCAGGCTGAACATGAAAATTGTCTCCTACACCTATCCCCTGCTTTAGCTTCTGATAAAAATAAAGACGGTGAAACTCGAAGATTTGAACATCCTGACAGATCTACGTCACTAACATCGATGGACTCCCCCATCATGACTCACCACTGGAAAGGCTGTTGTCTGTTTAGCCTCCAGGAAACAGCAGGGAACATCTCAACTAGTTTAAGCTAACCATTAGCATTAGCAACTCCACCACACAGCAGAACTCCTCAGGCTTGTTTTATTTGTAAATATAAAACTTCAATGTCAGTGGTAGCATCACATTGCTGTTAGCTAGAGGTGAGATGTTCAAGTATCAGGAGATAAGACTCCAGATCCTGTCGTCTGAAGCTCAGCTCTGACCCGGCTCACTTCTAGTTCCTGAAATAGACACAGTGGAGCGCTTGTTCCCTAGAAAATGACTTACAATGTATTCATTCCTAATGGAGGCCGCTGCAAATGCATTAGAAATATGAGTAAAGTTGATCTTTAACACAGTTATTGGCTTAATTCAACCTAATTTAGTGCAGATGTTGCACAGAAGGTTTTCAGATGGAAACTGGAGTCCTTACTGAAACTTTTCACCCATTTTCCCTTCAGGTGCCGATCATCAAGCTGACAGACCGAGAGACGGAGGTGAAAGTGGACATCTGTTTTAACGTGGAGTCTGGAGTCAAGGCAGCAAGCTTCATTAAAGAATACTTAAAGGTGGGTTAGGACATGTTTTCTTAGAGTATTTTTTTTTTCATATTGCTTAAAATGGTCTTCAAAACCAAAATAATCAGTTGATTGAATGTTTTGTCAAAAAAAATGAATAATTTTAATCACCTCTGAAATGTACAATCCTGGAAAAAAAACTCATCCAATCATTTTGAGCATCCCATTTGTACAGAAGCAATTAAATTTAACCAATTTAGGAGTTATGTTAGTCTGGCAAACTAGCTTAACCCTCAGGCATCAGTAGCGACGTTTTAGTCCATTTGGGCAGTTTTTCTGTTTTCCTTTGGATGACCTTGTAGCCGTGTTTCGGCATTTGGTGCAAAATTTTGTCACAAAACCTTTCTCTTGACAAATTTAGAAATTCAATTTGGAATTTTGAAAACAACACTACCCTCTTGTGACCTTAGAGGACAGAAACGTCTTACTGACTTCCATTCAAACCACAGCCAGGTGCATAAACATGCTAAACATTTAAGTTTTCTACTCTTTAAAGTTCAGTAATAGAATGAAACTGTGTTTTATCCACTTGTCTGAGGTCAAGTTGACCTTTTGACTTCTATTCAAACAGCAGAAGATCTAAAGAAATGATTAGAGTTTCTCGCACGTGCCACTAATGGAGAAATGACTGGCTTTGGTGGTGAACAGTAAAAATCACAAATTTACTAATTTTCTCCAAAATAAAACCCTAATATCACAGAAAGCGTGATTATTTTTTGCAGATGTTACAGGATCAGAACTGTGGTTTGGACGGAAGTCAATGGGACGTTTTTGTCCTCAATAGTCGTAAGAGGGTGGTAACTTTAGAATCTGTTGCTAGACAAAAACTATTATATTTCATAACATGACCAATACTAACTTGTAATAAATGCCCTTGACAGAAAATGTCACTTTTTTTGGGGGGGGGGGCAGAGTTTTTTTGTGTATTTTTATTATTTATTTTATTTTAATGAATTTTTAATATTTTTTATGTATTCATTATAATTTTATAAATTACAGCCTAGAGTAATCAAACTGACATTTGAAGAGTTAAATCCTCAAAATAATTGAATTTTTTTATAGATTTGAGCAGGACTGAAATTGTTTAACGGATCTATGAGGGGAAAAAAGCAAAAACAAATATGAATGTAAAAAGAATTTTTATAGCCACTTTTACTAGCGAACGTTTTTATCCTATAAGGTCACAAGAGTATCGTAAATTAAAGTACCGCCTGAGGGTTATATATGTAAATAAATAGTCTGGCCACGACCCATAGAGAAGAGACCTCAGTTGTTGGCTGGCTAGAGGCGTGCGTTCCCAAACGAGCGGCGTTGCTTCCAGCCATAAACACATAAGTAGGGAGAGAGGCTTAGGTTGCAATGCATTTTTCTGCCTCTAGGTGGTGTCCACTCACAAAAGACTCCAGATTTCTGCTCTAACGGTCAGATCATGAATCCTGAAGAAAGGCAGTTGCACCTTTTGAATTGCGTAAATCCAAAACGTAGCTTGCATGAGCGGCTTTTTCAGGAACCTTTAAAGGTTGGACGTTATAATCCGAAGACATGACTCACATAAATTTGTGTTAAAGGAGATTGAATTGGATCAGGTGAGTAATCTGGGAGGAGAGTGGGAAAACAGCATGTGTTTTAAATGAAAAAGATATTTTAAAAGTGTTTTAACATTATATCTGAGAGGAGTTAGAGATTTGCAGCTTTATTTCACCCCGTCAGCTGAAACACGCCCAGCACTGTGCACGAGCAGAACCTAAAACATCTCCAGTGTTTGTGTTGCTTAATGCCATGTTGCCAAATCTGTTCAGCTGTTCAGCAGAACTCCTGCTGAAGGTGATTCTGTACAGCTTTAGTTCCTGCAGGAAAGGAATTCCTGGTGTTTATGTTCCGGCAGGCTGTGGGATTATTCCCTTTGTCCATTGCTAGTTTGCATGTTGTAATCTGATTCTCCAGGAGTACGTGTCGGAGCTTGGAGGCACCATCACTCAGCATGGTTTCATCTAGTGTTCATGTTGTGATCATGTGAGTGTGACAGATTTATGTCACCTACAGGTCACCCTAAAGGTCAGGTTTTCAGCTAGTCACGTCCCAGATGTGATCCTAAATATTTAAAGCGTGTTTGTAAAATAAACTAAGCTCTACAGTTCAGACTGCCTGGAGCTGCTGCTGCCTGAAAAGTGTTGAGTTCTTCAGTCCTGGACCTGGATCCAGGTTTTGTTCTTTCCTCGGCCTTTGGAATAGTTAATAACACATTCGGTTGTCTTAATTTACTTGAAAGGAATTATTTTTTAATTTTTTGCTATTTTTCTGTAAAAGTTATAAATAACCACTGTTCCTTTACAGCCTCTAATTGGAGACATATAATTTATGTTTGCTACGACTGGTGAGATAAAGGCTGGTCTGAAAGTGTGTAGCCCGTCTCCCAAACTTTTACTGGCAGTTTATACAAATGTTATTTTATAAACCTCAACTCTGCTGTCAGTGTTTCTGTGCATTTCTGCATCAACACGACTGACTCGACCCTTGAATGCATCAGAAGTGCAACCCTTTGATAGTCCAAAAGGGTTCAGACGAAAGCAGCTGGACTTGTTTGGTTTCTTGAGGATGTTTCGCTTCTCATCCGAGGAGCTTTTTCAATTCTTCTCCAAGAGGTCCAGTTGCCTTTATTGGAACCCTTTTGGATTAATGTGAGCTGGATGACTGAGAACCTTCAGCAGCATGACGCTTGGATGACCCAGAAATCTAGATTTAACTCTGCTGGTTGGTCTAACCACGATCCATCGTAGCCTCAGCAGGTCTATCATTGGCTCAAACAGCTTCGTGTCTTGCTGATCACAGCACTCTACGCTTGTTGGACGGGCTTAGCTCCAGAGCTGCAATGGAGAGAAACTATAAAGATGGCGTCGGCTCAGGAATGGCGCTCTTTTGAAACGACTTTGACGTCAACTTTAAACGATTTAGACATTGGCTTTTCTTTAGCCCTTTTCAGATAGACATTCTGGAACATTTGTGGACAATTCAATCCGGTTTTTAACCGGAACTGTGTTTTCAGACACACCACTTTTGTACCGGAACTTGTCCTTTCAGCTGCGTTTACACAGCAGGGAAAAGTTCCAGATGTCTGACGGCGGCGGGGGGGTGGGGTGGGGTGGGGGTGGTGGGGGGAGAGAATCGGACTCATGTTAAGAAGAAGAAGAAAATATCATTTCTATAGCGCCTCTCAAGATAAAAATCACGAGGCGCTTAAGCTTAATTCTGCGCACACGAAGACGCATAAGAGACCTGGATGAGGAAGCTCAATGGTTAAAGGAATCACTGAAGCGGTGTGAAGCGCTCCGTCGCGCGTCTAGGCGGTACCGTAGGAGGCGAGCTGCCGTGGTTCGCCGCATGCTACAGCAGCGGGCTATATAGGTGCGCACAGCGTCCCCCGGTCCCCTCCTCCTCCCCCTCCCTCTTGTCTGGAACTCTACCTCACCAGTCTGAAGCAGCCACCCTGTCCGTGACAAGTCCGGACCTGTTACTAGGGGCTTCGTCCGGATAAATTCCGGAACATGTTATCCGGATGTTTGTATTCAGACACAAAGGTCTTACGGACAGAGTCCGGAACATTTCCGTTTTTCATGGCCTGTCTGAAGGGGGCTTGCTTCTTCTCCTTCGATGGTGTATAGTAGACTGCCCCATCGACTGACTTCCATAACGATGAGTATGTCACGTTGTTGCTCCAGCGGGTCCTAGGACTGTCTAATTGTGTGCAGAGACAATTCAAAGACTGGGTTGTTTCTTTGGCTGGTGGCCATATTGACATATAGGATGGCTTACGAGGCTAACACTTTGGTACTGCTGCTGATATTTCGGTTCTATAAATCGATGGACCAGAAGTACCAGTGAACTAAAGTATGAAAGGTTTGCTTTGTTTGCTTTTAAGAACAGTTATGTGTCTTTTGTTTTGAACCGTTTGTATTTTGTCCTTTGTGCCATGTGTTAACGTTTATTCTGCTTCATCTTTCAGAAGTATCCAGTGCTGCCGTACCTGATCTTTGTACTCAAGCAGTTTCTGCTGCAGAGAGACCTGAATGAAGTCTTCACTGGTGGCATCAGCTCCTACAGCCTCATCCTTATGGTCATTAGTTTTCTACAGGTACAGAGATCCAACTGCTCTACTGAAATAATCACAAGTAGCAGCATTGATTAAGGAATCACTTATAATAATGACAATATTCTTAGGATTATTAGTTAGGGTTTCAGTTGTTTTTTGGCATTGTAGGTTGATCACGTTAATGATTATCATCTTTAATAATCCTGAATAGATTTAAACTCTGTTTGTGTTCATTTCAGCTCCATCCACGTATCGATGCTAGGAACCCTAATCAGAACCTGGGTGTGTTACTGATTGAGTTCTTTGAGCTGTATGGTCGCCAGTTTAACTACTTGAAAACGGGGATTCGTATCAGAAATGGAGGTTCCTATGTATCCAAAGAGGAGATGATGAAGGCCTTGACAAACGGAAACAGGCCATCTATGCTCTGCATAGAAGACCCGCTTGATCCAGGTCAGTCTAGCTACTGTTTGGAACCACATTTATGTCACAGTTTTGGTTTTCTAAAAAGCTCATAAATTCTTGTTGTTTTTTAACATGTTTAATGTCTCTTCAGTGAATTTCAGTGTTGGGTGAAGGTTTTCTGCACAAGTCATGCTTTATGGCTTTATGCTCAAATGTGTTTTCTACATGGTTTGATTACAGCTCAGCGGATGTGTTGGTCGTGTCTTTCTGTTTTAAAGTTAGAATTCCACTATCTTAGTTGTTGTCAATAGATTCCTGATCGTCCTCTGGAGAAAAGTTAACATCAAACAGGCTTGACAAACTCTCCGCTGTCCAATTGGCCGTTTTTATTCACTTATCTGGGTTTGGGTTGTGGCGTACCCCAAGCAGAGAGGCCTAAACCACCGCTTCCCCAGCAGTCTCCCCATCACCTCCACCCGTGGGACCCAAAGACGTTCCCCAGCCAAAATGGAGATGCAATCCTTCCAGAATGTCATGGGTGAACCCAGGAGTCTCCTGCCAGCAGCACATGACCGGAAAACCTCCCCTGGAAGGTGTCCATCCTTTTTCACAAAGATGGTGCCACTGATCGTCGCCTCTGTGATATGGTGTACTTTATTTTGTTTGTTGTTGTTTTTTCCCTTAAATCTGACATTTTGCCGTAACTCTGGCAGCCTGTTGCCCAAAGGAGGAGCTCATAATCATCAGAACTATCATGCAAACGGACTTGTTCTCCTCTTTTCTTGCTACAACTGCTAACATTTTGGACATTAGCCCTTACCTTTAAACTCACACTGAAACACAGGAGAGATTGATGTGTTGGAGTACCTGTGCACCTTTGCCGCCACAGTGTGTGGACACCGCTGCCTGATATATTTCTGTCCAGCGAGTGTTCACTGAACAACAGAGATGATAAACTCTAGCTACTGGTGATGAAAGAGGGAACTTTCTTCATCTGACGTCTTTTGTGTCACCAAGATGTGGTTTCATGGATCGATACTGGATTCTGCTGCATTCCTTTCTGTGTTCACGTCCCACCACAAGCTAACATGCTAACGGCACTGTGGTCACTAGGCAACCAGATTTAGCGTGTAGAGTGGAAAACTCGGACTCCGTAGTTATTGTCCTTAGTGACTTTAACAAAGGAAACTTCTCTTACGATCTCCCAACATACAGTTAATAAGCTACCTAAGCAGAGAGGATGCCACCTTGGACCACTGCCACGCCACGGTAAGTGGTGCGCACCACGCTGTTCACCATGCTGCACTCGGACCATGTGGCGGTCCTCGTATTCTCACAGGGAGACAGATATTAAAACTCCCTAAGCCTGTCATGAGAAGTTTAAAGAAGTGGAGCCATGAGGCTAAAGAGGATCAGCGGGCTGGTTTGGACTGCACCGGCTGGGAGCTCTTCAGAATTGCCACCAACAGCCTGAATGGGCACACTGATACCGTGACACCATGCTTTGGTTTCTGTGATGACACCAGTGGAGGATACCTGTTTACTAAGATGCACCAGATCTGAGAAATAACAATAACAAACTGGTTCACAGCCAAACTCAAAAGGCTACGATTAGGAAAAGGAGAAGCGTTACACAGTGGGGGCAGAGACAGAGACAGAGTCGAAGCACGAGTTTAGCTAGAACCCACGATAGTTCTGCTCAAACAACTCTGCTTCTGTCCTGAAACCAACAGTTCACACCTAACCAACAGCCTGAACGACTTCTCCTGCTTCTTTGACAAACTATGGAACTAACCTCCCCTGACGCTACCCTGCACTATCAAACCCTTCAGCTCCCCCACCTCATCGGATAGAATGCCTTTTACTGTCTCTCGCTATACATGAATACAATGAGATTAAAAGCAGATCACGGCTGATCCTCCTCGTCGTCCGTTATCTGCCACCTCTGATGTCACACCTACCACCTTGGCACCCTCGTCTACTGGCTAGAGGGACATAAACAAACCAGACTCCGTGTCTCCTGTCTGCACAGACATATTTAATACTTCACTGAAGACCTGTCACATGACAGCCTGCTTAAAGGCAGCCCCCATCATCCCCACCCAAAAACACCAAAAACAACTCAATGACATGTTGCTCTGACAAATGTACTTATGAAGTAAGCATCACCCACTCATCAGATCTATCGCAGTAGAGCCCTAGTCCAGCTCCCACTGATGTTCTCTGTACTGCCTCCTCCTATTGTCTCTCTTTTGCTGCACGCCACCTCCTCTCCATACAAAGTTTATACTAGTTCTAAATAGGCCCAAAAATTCAACTTGAACCCTAAATTTCACAAAGGACTGAAATAATTGAATATAACAAGTCGTCTTTCCCTCCGTATTTATAAGCGATGTTGAATTAGTCTGACTGACCGTGGCACACTTTTGTTGCTTCCATATTTCTAATTTTCCTTTCTTCTATTCAGTTTCATATTCTTCAGTCTTCACTGCAGTTGCACTCTCCAGCTTCTTGCAGGATCATTTGGGACCCACTGTTTTTCTCTTATTTGCCCGTTCGCGGATTACAGACGTCCTGTCTGATTGGAAGCAACATGTGAGGCTAGGGAAGTGCAGCTCCAACCCATGGACCCCTAGCAGAGAATCCTCTCAATGCTGCTTCGTTTGTCTCTTGCTTTTTTCCTCAAGTTCAGCATTTACTGCAGATGCTGCCTTGATCCGCGTGTCCATCCCCTACTCCCTCACTCACGAACAAGACCCACAGGTTCTTAACTCCGGTCTGAAACCATGACCTTACATTTGGAGACGCTGTTTCTCATCTCAGCCATTTCAAATTTGGCCCTGAACACTACCGAGCAAGAGCTGAAGGCCACGGTGTGATGGAGCTAGGACCACATCATCAACATAAAACAGAAATGAGATCCCCCTGCCACCAAAGTCGACACTCTCCATCCAACGACAGCACATGGATATTCTGTTTTTAGTGATGACAGGGAACTGATGTCAACAGAGGATATATTTTGGCAGTGCAAGGAGTACTGCGAGGACCTGATCTATGCCATGACATATATTCTTGTCAGGAACCAGTACCAGGGGGCCCAGGGTCTGATTGATTAATCACTGGAGCAGAGGTTTCTGAGCCAATCAGTCAAACTTCTCATGCAAAAGATTTTGCTTCAGCAGCCGCCATTGCTGTGCCACACATAGGCCTCCAGTAGCCATTCGCTACTCCTGGAGACCCACTGACCAACCATGCTCTGTTGGCCTCTAGTCCAAAATGCTGCCATCTTGGAACAGGCTAGTCCAAGTTTCGCCAAACCCAAAGAGCGGTGGTGCCGTCTTAAAACATCTCCAATCTTCTAAACTTCACAGTGGTTAACGTTAATGGTGGGAATCAGAAGCTTGTGATTCGTTCATAAAACAATTATGTATGCATCTTTAAGTGGCTGCCATGTAAATGGCTAAGATTTTTTTTAAAGGTTGAATTTTAGATATTAATTTTAGCTGTTTGTCTAATTGTAATCGTCTAGGTAACGATGTGGGGCGGGGTTCGTATGGTGCCATGCAGGTCAAGCAGGTGTTTGATTATGCCTACACTGTGCTCAGCCATGCCGTCACACCACTCGCAAGCTCATACCCCAACAAAGACTGTGAAAGGTGAGAGCTCAGTCTAGTTGTTAAAGAGCGTCGAGTGTTAGAGCAGTACTGACTTGTAAAGGTTTCTCCATTCTTCGTGCAGCACGTTGGGGAGGATAATTAGGTTGACCCAGGAGGTCATTGACTACAGGGAATGGATCATTAAGAAATGGGGGTGTAAGGATTTACCACAAGCAGACAGCAGAGGTACGAATCCTATCTACATTTTTCAGATGATATTGATATAAATGAGAAGTTTAAAGTAGTGTAATTAAAGGTGCAATTTGTAAGGATGACATCCTGTGGTTAAATGTGGTTACTGCAGTCCAAGAAGCAAAGACTGAAGACAAATATATTCCTCTCTCACTCGTGACTTTCGTGGCTGTTTCCAGTTACGGACCATTGCCAGGCGATTCCAGATGACAAGCAAAAACGAGTCATACGCAGTAGTGTTATAAGTAGATAAATACATTTTCATATCTGGTGTTTTATGGTAGAGAGCACTTATTACACTCATTACCGTAGTTTGTCTCCGACATTACATGAAGCGTGGTTGTTTGCCTTCTTGCTGTTAGCTCGCTGTTATAGTTTTGAACGACGATTCTAGACTGCTTTACCTGATATTAGAGTCAAACAAAGAAATGCTGTGGCTTCTTAAGCCTGGGGCACACCGGAGGCAGACGCGCCGCGCCCGTGCCGTCATTTTAAATAGCAGCCATTATAGTTAATGATAGTGGGCACACGGGGAGCGTCACCACGTCACAGAAGCGCCGAGGCGCCAAGGATAGGCGTCGGTTCTGTCTCAAGCCACACTGTGTTTACGACACTTTGGAGTATTTTACAACAGACATTACGTTGCGGAACGGCTTTACGGCACAAACCCAGCTGCAGTTTTGATAACTTTAAAAAACTATTGATGGTTAAATATTCAAATAAATAGCATACTTACCCATTTTTAATGAATTCAAGTCTCAAAACACAACAGCAAGTCTGATCACTTATAAACAATAGAGTCACTTCCTGCTTTCTGTTCTCAAGTCCCGCGTGATGCTGAGACTATCGCACAGCTTCCCAAAAAGCACTCAGTGGCACATCCTGTGTGACTACTTGACTCCTCCGCCTCCGGTGTGCCCCAGGCTTTAGAGGTACAAGAAAAAACTTCTGGGTTGCTCCTGTTTACTGGCTTTGGTTGTTTAAACAACTCTGAAGCTTTTTGCCTGCCGGTGTCGAATTACAAATGTCTGCACTTTAGTATCTACGTTCGGCTTTGGGTTTCTTCAATTGGAGGAAAATGGTCAACCCCTAGCTGGCTGAGAATGAAATCCGTTTCAGTTTTACCGTCCTTCCAACAAGACATTAGACTGTTTGGTGATCACTTCACTGTAGAATTCTTACAAATTGCACCTTTAAGGTAAAATATTTTACTGTTGCTAACAGTCCCCGTTTGCCAGTCATTTTCTGCCGAGTTCTTCAAGATTGTACCTTTTTTTAGTTTGCGTTGAGCTGTGTTTCAGTCTTATTTCTCCACCTATAGTACTGTTTCCTAAAGAGCCAGTATCGGAGCAGGAGACCTATGAGCAGTGCAGTGGTGTCTTGGGTCCAGAGGAGCAGCAAAGGGACTCGGTGTCTCCTCACAGTGCCGACTCTCCCATGTCCATCTCCAGCCCTCAGCAGCACTCATCAGCCTCATCTGTGTCCTCGCTGTCCGGATCGGACAACGTAAGATGTCACACACAGTTACAGCTGTTCGCTCCAGATAACCGGATGGCGTTTTTCTTTGTGCACATTCAGGGTTTGGATTTGGTGCTTTATTAATCTTTCCTCTTTGCTGTTCCAGGACTCTGATTCAGCATTGCCACCATGTCCCCTCCCTCCACCTACCATGCCAGCATATCCATCCTTCCCTCCGCTTGGCCTAGCTTTAGCACCAGGGCTGAACATGGGGACCGGAAAGCACAGCATGGGAGCACACCATCTGCTCCTTCCTCCAGGTTCACAGGTAGGTACACAGTGAAGGCTACAGGCCTCAGCAGATATTTAGGGACAGAGGTCCATTGGGTAGCTGTAGGATCCTAAATTAAATATGTAGGAATGTTTTATAATTAGATTTTATAAAATCATCCTGATTCAAACCGTTGTCCTCTCATCCCTACAGGCTCATGTTTCACTGCCTGGTGGTCTAACTTTACACTCCCTGCCTGGCAGACAGGTGTGTATGGACACTGGGCTCCCTCCCTTCTTCCACTTGCCCCCCCCAGCCCATGTCCCTGCCCCTTCCAGCCCCCAGCCTCCGCCCAGCCCCCACTCCAGCCACACACACAAGGTAGGCGCCGGATGCCATGAACACACTTGTTTTAGTTTGTTCCTCTGATTTATTTTTTCTATGATGTGATTGGCTACAGAAATCATAAATAAGAGTCATTACAGATTAATACAGTGGGGCACCGATTGTGCAAGTTCTCCCACTTAAAATGATGACAGAGGTCAGTAATTTACATCATAGGTACACTTCAACTGTGAGAGACAGAATGTAAAAAAAAATCCATGAATTCACATGGCAGGATTTTTAAAGAAGTTATTTGTAAATCAGGGTGGAAAATAAGTATTTGGTCAATAACAAAAATTCTACTCAATACTTTGTAACATAACCTTTGTTGGCAACAACAGAGGTCAAACGATTACTATAGGTCTTTACCAGGTTTGCACACACAGTAGCTGGTATTTTGGCCCATTCCTCCATGCAGATCTTCTCGAGAGCAGTGATGTTTTGGGGCTGTCGCCGAGCAACGCGGACTTTCAACTCCCTCCGCAGATTTTCTGTGGGGTTGAGGTCTGGATACTGGCTAGGCCACTCCAGGACTTTCAAATGCTTCTTACGGAGCCACTCCTTTGTTGCCCGGGCGGTGTGTTTGGGATCATTGTCATGTTGGAAGACCCAGCCACGTTTCATCTTCAAAGCTCTCACTGATGGAAGGAGGTTTTGGCTCAGAATCTCACGATACATGGCCCCATTCATTCTGTCCTTAACACGGATCAGTCGTCCTGTCCCCTTAGCAGAAAAACAGCCCCAAAGCATGATGTTCCCACCCCCATGCTTCACAGTAGGTATGGTGTTCTTGGGATGCAACTCAGTATTCTTCTTCCTCCAAACACGACGAGTTGAGTTTATACCAAAAAGTTCTACTTTGGTTTCATCTGACCACATGACATTCTCCCAATCCTCTGCTGTATCATCCATGTGCTCTCTGGCAAACTTCAGACGGTTCTGGACATGCACTGGCTTCAGCAGCGGAACACGTCTGGCACTGCAGGATTTGATTCCCTGCCGTTGTAGTGTGTTACTGATGGTGACCTTTGTTACTGTGGTCCCAGCTCTCTGCAGGTCATTCAGCAGGTCCCCCCGAGTGGTTCTGGGATTCTTGCTCACCGTTCTCATGATCATTTTGACCCCACGGGATGAGATCTTGCGTGGAGCCCCAGATCGAGGGAGATTATCAGTGGTCTTGTATGTCTTCCATTTTCTGATAATTGCTCCCACAGTTGATTTTTTCACACCAAGCTGCTTGCCTATTGTAGATTCACTCTTCCCAGTCTGGTGCAGGTCTACAATTCTTTTCCTGGTGTCCTTCGAAAGCTCTTTGGTCTTGGCCATAGTGGAGTTTGGAGTCTGACTGTTTGAGGCTGTGGACAGGTGTCTTTTATATAGATAATGAGTTCAAACAGGTGCCATTAATACAGGTAACGAGTGGAGGACAGAAAAGCTTCTTAAAGAAGACGTTACAGGTCTGTGAGAGCCAGAGATTTCCCTTGTTTGAAGTGACCAAATACTTATTTTCCACCCTGATTTACAAATAAATTCTTTAAAAATCCTGCCATGTGAATTCATGCATTTTTTTTTTTTCAAATTCTGTCTCTCACAGTTGAAGTGTACCCATGATGTAAATTACTGACCTCTGTCATCATTTTAAGTGGGAGAACTTGCACAATCGGTGGCTGACTAAATACTTTTTTGCCCCACTGTATGTTTGCTAAATAATTTAATCACTAAATCTACATCTTTTATTGCTTTGTAATCTCTCTTCGTTTTCTTTACTTAGAATGGAACAAAGTTTAATGTGAAGAGCATCCACACCCCGCCGCTGGTGAGCGGTGCTGTTCTGGCCAACCGCGGACACGCGCAGTACAACCGCACCTACACACGACGCAGGAAGAGGGAGAGCCCTCCGGTTAGCCTGAACAGATAGAAACCACTCCTCTGTCCCCCTGTTCTCCTTTTCCTCTCTGGCTGCAAACCGCGGCTCTTCACTCACCTTGAAGGAGGGCGGACCCAGGTTCAGAGACCAGCAGTTTTTACTTTTGGAAAGGGGAGGGGGGTTGTATGTTCTCAGTATTATGTTTTTGTCCATATTGTTTTCACATGATTGTTGTGTGTTTTTATATTTGTTTGTTTTTGTCAGACTCGGTGGTGGTGGTGTTGCCAACTTCACTTGACCTCGTCCTGACCCCTGCAGCCAAGCTGCTTGTGGTTCGGTGTTACTCTTAGTATTTTTTTATAACACAATTAAACACAAAACCATTTTTTTGATCGTGCAATGGTATTTTTTCTTCCTTTTTTTTTTGAAGTGCTTATTTAATTTTCGGTGTTTATGTAAAGGCCTTTTATACAGTTATTTTATTTTTGTAGAGTTTTAAACCTCTTGTTTACATCACGTTTCTCCAGCTGATGGCATCTCGGCGTGTGCGTCTGCATGTCGTTGAGATGGACCCCAGATCAAAGCCTCCACCTTCTTTTCCTCCTTAAATGCGCTGATTTGTTTCATTAAGCAAAGAAAAGCAAAACTTTGCTTAATATTTTTTCTGCATCTAAGGAAAACGGGCAGATAGTAGTCCCAGTGGAGCTGGAGTCCCTCGGTCGAGTCAGACGAAGGCACGCTGGAGGGAGACACAGATTTTAATAACGGTTAAAAAAGGTCATTAGGAGAGGAGAGTGTAGCGGTGTTTGAGTAAAAGGTAGAAGATCGTCCTTTACATTTCCACCTGGAACTCCTTTATGTGTGAAATCTCTTCTTGTTTTTGAGGATGTCCATTTTTGGTTTTCCACACCGTTTTGTTAAAAACGTCTTGATCATGTTTCTTTATATGTTTAGTTGGCATTTTATCGTTTAAAATAAAAAATAACGGGCAAGAGAAAAGAGAGAGAGAAAGAAAGAAATGAGGTTATTTTCATTTTTGTCAGGCACTGGAAGGTTGGCGGGAGCCTTAAAGGTTTCGCCCTGGCCGTCTTTCTCTTCACTGAAAGTCACTTTGGAAAAAAAAACTAAAAAAAAACTTCCGAACTCTTCCGGGTGGTGGCCTGGGAGAGCCCGCTCTTTTAATCCTTCATGCACGTGTTTTGTTGTGCTCGTCTGTTTCCATGACATGTTGTGGGAGTGCTGGGGCCAAGAATCCTTCAGCTTTTCTAAAGCTAAAGATCAAGATTAGAGTTTAAAGGACTAAAAGCCACATATTCCATGTCTAAGACCTCCTCAGCTCTGTCTAGATGAAGGGACGTGAATCGGTGCAGACCAACAGAGCCAACTCAGTGATAAGGTCTCCTTTAGTAGTCACGGGCAAAGGAGGAGGAGGAGGAGGAGGGTGGGGGTTTTTCCTGTACCAAGGACCCTGGAGAAAGGGAATTATATTTTGATTCCATTCAGGAATCTTGTTTATATTTGATTGCCAGGTACTTCCACTAATTGTTTGCAATGCCTTTCTTTGTGTTTACGTAGTGTGTGTGGATTTTCCCGCGAGCACACCGTGTCATAAAAACACAGACAAGACTGTGGAAGGCTGTGACTCAACCAGAACGCTACACATGCTGGTGGTATTACTATGCAACTGGTGTACTCTTAATTACCACGTTCACTCTTATTATTTCTTGTTTGGGGTTACTTTCCATTGTTGGACTGGAGTTACGTTACTGACTGTAAAACTCGAGCCAGCTCACGTGAACCACAGTCCCGTCCAACCCCCCCACCCTGTTTTGTGTTTTCTATAAGGCCCCGAGATGTTTGGAAGTCTAGTTTTTTACATCTTACCAGTGAAATGTCCGAAACGGGGGGGGGGGGGGGGGGGGGGGGGGGATTGGGTTGGTGTATTGTGTGTGATGTTGTAAAATGTGTGTGTGAGAATTAGGAACCCCGAGCAGGTTTTAATCAGTCCCCTGCATCCAGAGAGCGACTTGCACTCTGCCGGTGCACTTGAGCGGCCAAAGTGTCCAACGACAATTCCTAAAGTTTTACCCTTTCAGCACTGCTACACCATTTTTCTTTTCTTCCTCGGAAGCACGGCAACTCTGATCTGTCAGTCGGAACTGCAACCGGAGTCCCTTCTATCATCAAATTGTGTTAAAAATGACATGAAAATGACATAAATTAAATAAATCCATGGCATCTCAATCTGTTATTTCCCCTGTTGGGAAAGGATCGAGATGCTACATTAAATACCCAGAATTCCTTGCTCAAAGTAAACTTAAATGAGATGGTTGGAATTGGCGACCTTGAGTGATTCTACAAGACTCAGCATTTAAGATCTGAATTGGTGATCGATGAAATCGGCGAAGGACTAGAGTTGCCTGCATATTTGGAAGTCCGTAGGGACCCAGATATTTGTACATCTCAGTGGTCCGATGCAGTCCGTGCTTGCTCTCTGTTTTTGTGGTTAATGGTAAAATGATGACCCGTTGAGCTCATGGCCTCATTAGCTTTACTTGATCACACTGGTGATGATGTGAGCAGTGGAGAGCAGGTATGTCGAACTACTTGGACCATTGGGATTTTACACATATACATGCAAAGGAACACTACCAACCCAGTGAGGATTTTAAACTGGTGGCTGCCGTTGTTCTGGCTGATTTATGTGAACAGTGGCCCCTCATCATGGATGCTTGGCTACCAGTGGCCAGACGGAACTGCTGCCTAGCTTTTTTTTTTGTTTCTTTTTTGACATTTTTATGTAAATATATTTTTTTTCTATTTTATTTTTTAATAAACCCTCTAAAACTGCCCGCCACTGTGTGGTTATTGGGGTTATGTTTCTGTAAACGTTCAAAAGACATGAAATTATTTTTAATTTCCTGATTGCTGTTATTCATTTGACCACAAAACCAAAACAAGTCTTTAGAAAAACCACGGATGATGCCAAAAGTTTAGTTTTTACAAAATCGTTAAAACCATGGACTAATGTTACCCTGAAAGTCCCGTTTACCTCTGAGACTAAAATGACACCACATTATTTGTTTGCAGCATCAGAGCTGGACTTAGTTTCACGTTATAGTTATGTCCAGTCTGACCAGTGACTTGAGGTTCCTCAGCCAGTGGCTGGTGTACCGATGTTCATCCAAACCTGCAACTGCATGTTCAGATATCAGAACAGATCGGTCTCACTGAATGGTTAAGCTGGGCCCCGGTACAAGTGTTGCTCTATAATTCCCAACTGGCCCAAAAACTCCCAACATGATCACATGGAAACCTGGCTGAATTTCAGTTTTTAATTAGTAAATTTAGTAAGTAAATTGTATTTATATAGCACTCATCACAGTCACAAAGTGCTTCACATGGATAAAAAACAACAAATCCTAAAGTCATTAAATCATTATGATCTCAAAACAGAAATAAATTAAATTCAGAAAAACAGTCATACAATTATAAAACATCAAACAAATGAGAGATTTGTACAAATTAGAGTTAGAAAATAAGAAAAAACATTAACGTAAAATCTGCTTTAAATAAAACGGGCTTCAGCTGTTTTGTAAAAGTGTCCAGACAGTCGACGCTGCGTAAGGATAAAGGAAGATCATTCCAAAGTCGGGGTGCAACGGAAGGAGTGATCACCTCGACTTTTGTTTCTGGTCTTTGGAACTTCTAGAACACATGTGTCAGACACAAGACCTGCCGGCCAGAAGCGGCCTGTGGAGCATTTTTATGTGGCCCGAGAGATAAATATAAAAAAATATTAAAACTGGCCCGCTGGCCGATTTTACCGCAAAGACTACAACTCCCATGATGCTTTGCTGCGTTTGCGCGGAGCCGACGCGCCCCCTCCTTTGTGTTTTTTCCAGTGTCTGCTGCTGGTGTTTGCAGCTCCGCTGTCTCGGACAAACACTCCTCTATGGCGTTTAAAGCGTGCCACAACCCGTGCACGCGCATTGGGTCCACAGCGCGCGTGTGAACGGGACTCGCGAGCGCAAATATACATGGCAGCGCGCGTGTGAACGGGACTCGCGAGCGGAAATATACATGGCGAGAGGTCATTTGTGCACTGAGAGGGAGCAAACTGTCTGTGAGCGCACAAGGATGTGCACAAGTGACAAACCTGCGTGCGCGCGTTGTCAACGAGCACACGGCAGAGGAAAACGTGCGCGCGCGGCAGCCTCTGTGTGCGCTCGGCAGCCTCTCTGCGCGCTCGGTTTCTGACTCCTGCTCGCTCGGCTGTAAGGGCTTTTGGCACTCTGGAGGCGTGGCCTGTGGCAGATCTTCTCTGTCCTCTGATTGGTTAGTTTACCCCGCACTTTACCCTCTATCTATATAAAAAAGTCTGATATTCAGTAGTCGCTGGCATAGCTCAGCTGGGAGAGCGGGTGACTCTCGCCCTGGAGGATCCAGGTTTGAGTCCGGGCAAGGAAAATGTAGTAGACGTCATGTTAATTTTTCTTAATTTCAGGTATTTTACAGTTGTGACCGTTCAACTGTGATTAAACGTCCGAATGTTTGCTGGGCAGTGTTTTAAAAAGTGCACATAAGCTAGATGGTTTTAACCATATAAAATTACATTTTTTGTGATACTGGAAAAATACATACTGAAATAAAACTACTGATTGAAAACTTTATGACTGTGGTTGTACAATATATGACTCACTAATACACTGCAAACTCCCTTAGAGTGGGGCTTCCAGAGAGAGAGAGAGAGAGAGAGAAAAGTTCTTGCCTCATTAATGAATTGTTTATTTTTTTCAGTATTTAATTGACAAATTATCCTTTCAAATAATTAATTGATGAGTTACATAATTGTCCATTTAGAATTGTTGAATGGACTGAGTCAAGTTTGGTGCACTTTATATATTTCAAAACATGTTTTTTTTATTTTAATGATGCATATAAATAATTTAAATGTTAATTTAATGAAATATTTCTATTTTTTCATTACCTCACCCTTGTTTTGACAAAAACGGGACCTTGCTGGATAATATCACGGAGAAACTATTTGTTCACAGTACATGGCTCCGTAAGGATCTGTGTACCAAAGGAGGAGATACTCAGAAATCTGTCTGCAGATTGTTACAACCCAGACTGGAAGTGGTGGGCTGTAATAAGAAAGGAGACCAAACAGAGGAGTGGGGGTTCAACAACTGATTTATTTAACAAAAGTAAGGATTTACTAAAGCAAGTTAGTGAACAGAAAATGGCCATCTCAAGGTTTTACTCGGATGTCCCTCAGCAGGGTGCAGCACTGTTGAAGGTCATCTGAATGAAAGCTTGATATGCAGTTTCTTTATGAAATGGACAATTATGTAACTCGTCAATTAATTATTTGAAAGGATAATTTGTCAATTAAATACTGAAAAAAATAAACAATTCATTAATGAGGCAAGAACTTCTCTCTCTCTCTCTCTCTCTCTCTCTCTCTCTCTCTCTCTCTCTCTCTCTCTCTCTCTCTCTCTCTCTCTCTCTCTTTGCAGTGTATTAGTGAGTCATATATTGTACAACCACAGTCATAAAGTTTTCAATCAGTAGTTTTATTTCAGTATGTATTTTTCCAGTATCACAAAAAATGTAATTTTATATGGTTAAAACCATCTAGCTTATGTGCACTTTTTAAAACACTGCCCAGCAAACATTCGGACGTTTAATCACAGTTGAACGGTCACAACTGTAAAATACCTGAAATTAAGAAAAATTTACTTGACATCTACTGCATTTTCCTTGCTCGGACTTGAACCTGGATTCTCCGGGGCGAGAGTCACCCGCTCTCCCAGCTGAGCTATGCCAGCAACTACTGAATATCAGACTTTTTTATATAGATAGAGGGTAAAGTGCGGGGTAAACTAACCAATCAGAGGACAGAGAAGATCTGCCACAGGCCACGCCTCCAGAGTGCCAAAAGCCCTTACAGCCGAGCGAGCAGGAGTCAGAAACCGAGCGCGCAGAGAGGCTGCCGAGCGCGCACAGAGGCTGCCGCGCGCGCACGTTTTCCTCTGCCGTGTGCTCGTTGACAACGCGCGCACGCAGGTTTGTCACTTGTGCACATCCTTGTGCGCTCACAGACACAGTTTGCTCCCTCTCAGTGCACAAATGACCTCTCGCCATGTATATTTCCGCTCGCGAGTCCCGTTCACACGCGCGCTGCCATGTATATTTGCGCTCGCGAGTCCCGTTCACACGCGCGCTGTGGACCCAATGCGCGTGCACGGGTTGTGGCACGCTTTAAACGCCATATCCTCCCCGACACACAACAACGTGCTCAAGCTGCTCAGACATGTTCATCAGCACAAACCTATGTGAGCACCTGTTGTCATCTAATGTTGTCATTATTATGATGAAGATGAACAAAACAACAGGAGTCTCCTCCTCAGCTCAGACCAACCCCATGATGCAGGTATCTGGCTGGAACAGGTGAGCATCACAGTAAACCAGTGGAGCACACTGAGCATAGGCGTCATTTTAACCGGAGATGCCAGGGACATGTCCCCGGCAAAATTTGTGATTGGCAGCTGTGTCCCCCCCACTTTCTGCTGATGAGGATTTTTGTTTTACCAGCTCACCAGGGGTCGGCAACCTGTTCCCATCAAAGAGCCATTATTACCCGTTTCCCACAGTAAAGAAAACACAGCAGCAGCCGCGGCGTTGTGGGCGGGGCCTACCCTTAGACAGCAGAGAGCTGCTCACAACAGGTGACAGCAGCCGGTACCGGTCACTCGCATGGACATCGCACCCGTGGGGGATTCAACACCCACACTTTTCCTTCTGTTTTGCTCACCTCCACACCAGTCTGGTTTCTTTATGTCGCACTCTCTCTGTTTGCCTCATCTCCTTCTTCACCTCCCGCTTCTGACAGCCGATGTCGGGTTTCCAGGAGAGCAGGAGAGGGAGGGACGGAAGAGCTCGACTGAATTCATAATTTTACATCTTGACATTAGCTGTACAAAGTCTGAGTTTGATAAAGTGAAGAACAACAATCTGCAGAGGTTTATAACAGGCACGGCGCCAGGTTTTCATTTTTGGATGGGCCACAGTAATTCTGGACGGACCTTAATAAGCAGTGACTTAAGTGAAGCAGGCAGGTCGCGCTAGAAAATTTAGTTTAAAAAGACGTCATAAATGTGTTCCCCCGTCATTTTTATTTCTAAAATATGAAGTAAAAACTCCCAATTTAATTTTCATTCATTTGTCATTAATATGTAGTCTACACCCGTGCGTTAAGTGGACCATCTTCCAGTGAAAGCAACGCATCCAGCCCACCTCTCCAAATGCGTAAAATGTGCATCAGCCGCTAGTTAGGCGCGCCGCGCGCTCCGTCAGCTACGTCAGCCCAGACAAGAGCAGAGCAAATAGAGAAAGAATAGAGGATAATTGTGTCTGGATGTGGATGGAGATTACATTTTACAGCAGCCTGATCATCATCTAAATACGTAAACCATCACCTGTCTTCTAGTCCACGCTATCAGCATTATTTTAATTGGTGTGTGTGTGTGTGTGTGTGTGTGTGTGTGTGTGTGTGTGTGTGTGTGTGTGTGTGTGTGTGTGTGTGTGTGTGTGTGTGTGTGTGTGTGTGTGTGTGTGTGTGTGTGTGTGTGTGTTTTCCACTTCCAACACTGGTCTAACCAACCAGACCAGCGTGTCCAGTAACACATTAATGTTACAATTAAACAGTTTCACTTCATGTAGGCTAGGAACGTTTCACCTGCCGTGGCCCGACCGCTTCTGCTCCACATGAACTTTGTGCGTAATCAAATGTCTCTACAGGTGCTTTCTGAGCTGCTATTCTGCCTCAGACTGGATGCGTCATGCA